GGAGCGCGGAAGCGAATCGGTCCGGGTGCCGAGAGCGTCGATTTAGGGCCCGGGGCGGTCGAGGAGGTTAACAGCCTGACCCATCTCACGACAGAAACCCGCCGGACCGCCAACCGAATATTGGACCGTTCTGGAAGCCTGCCAACAGAGCGACCGACCACGTAAGCAGGCTACAGGGCGTCCGAAAAGGCCTGCCAACAGAGCGACCGACCACGTAAGCAGGCTGCACGGCGTCCGAAACTGGTCCAGTCTGCCCGGAAGTCAGAGTATAAAAGGTCAAATATTCTCTCATTTTTTTTATATCCAACTGGACCTTCTACGCATCCGAGTCGAGTTTCAAATAATCTCGCACCCTCAGAACCACATCTGTGCGCTAACCAGCAAGCAGTCCGGCCATCCCTCTGCCATCTTGAAGAAGCTCGGGGAACATGCAACCAACCCCGGGTTTCAGCGTGGCCCGACCAAACATTTCGACTCATAGCTTGCACCCGGCGAGTCAGAGGGAGGTCAACTGTGGCAACATTATTGTAGATCCACGAGCCTACGGAACCATTCCCGCTAACTCACTGGCTACCAAGTGCTCGCTTTGCAAACAAACAGTTCTGACAAAAGACTACCAACTCACATTCCGGAAAAGCCAAGCATTGAAGGGCTTTGCAATCAGCTCACCCGAATCAGTTGCCAAGGGTCAGAGAAAGCGCCAGCCTCTGTGTTTGGAGTGCGTCAAGCGGCATTTCGGTCATGTCACCCAATGTGGTGACAAACTGACAATCAGCGTAGCAAGGACCAACCGGGGCTCGGCGGGTTCAGTTGAAATCTGGTTTCAGCGCAAGTCACTGGAGGAGGAATGGAGCCAACTGAAGGAGTTGTCGGGCGAAGAGATCGGCAACCTGCGAGAGAAGGCAGAGGAGGAACGGCCGGGCGGGCGCCGCAAGACAACTGCAGCGCAAGCAGCAGTGAACAGGGGGCGAAAAGTGGGGGAGACAGCAAGATCCAGCGCGCAAGTGGAGGTAAGCAGGAATGAAGATCTACAAACCCTAGTAGCCTCTGCATCTGCTTGTGAATGTTTGATTAAGCACTATCCATATGCATTTTTACAGCCCAGAAATTGCTGCGTATTTGATCCAAGTGTGCACAACAAGAAAACACATACGGTAACAGAAGAAGAGTCAGAGATCTTATGCTGATAGATATCACCGCGGTTAGGAGCATTTGTCTCCCACCATTTGCAAAATATCTAACTACGTTCCTAGTGTGGACGCAGGGACAACCACGCACAGAAAACGGCGACGCGTCCGGCGCAGAGGATCGCCGAACAACCATCGACCAAGCTGTGATGTATCTCGATGGCCTCCGATCAGGAGAATGCGCTTTTTACAGCGTCGGCGAGCAGGAATCCGCTGGTACAGTCTATCTGGCTAGTACTTGGAATCACAACGGCGCGAGACCCAAACCTCTCGGACGCCCTAGCAAAGTGCGCGCGTTGCTCGAGACGGTGCATCGGGACACCATGGGAAACCTGAGCTGCACCTGCGACCGGGGCCGGTTGTACTCTCAGGCGCCCTGCGTGCATAAACTTACGCTACAGGCATTGGGGTCGCCGAGATTGGCTAGCGCCATATCGCTGCAGAAGGGGACGCGGGTGGTGGAGATAGCATGCGACAGGACCGGGGAGCGGGTTTTTGGGGTGTACTGGAACGCTGGTTCGCCCTCACCTCAGCGGACCATGGTCCACTATGGAGAGGGGCCGCAGATGGGCTGGTATTGTGAGGGGAGGAAGAGCGGATGCAGCAAGACGGCTGACTGTTCGCACATCCAAAGGGTGAAGCGAGCTTTGAGCGAATCGAGCGGTGTGGAAAAGCTCAGCAGGAGTTCGTTTTCAGAGGAGCAGCTCGAGCTCGCAAAAACGTCTTTGAAGGACGGTCTAGGGGATAGCCGGGGCGGTGACTGCGTGGCGCAGAGCGGGCAGTGTGCGCCAGACGCCGACGTGGACGGGTACCTTGCGGAGCTGGTCGTTGGCAGTCACGAGAGGGCCGCATGCAAAGGGCCAAGTTGCTTCTGCAAGCAGCATCCGAGGGTGTTCGGCGGCGCTGATGTGGACGAGGAGCCCTGCGCAGCGAGGTGCTGCGCGTCTGCTCAAACGAACGGAAAGCGAGTCCGATCGGAGCAAGGAGAAGACTCCAGTGGCGTTGGAAAGGCGAGTGCGAAATCGGGCAAACGGAGAACCAAATCGTTCTGGGCGGCACAAGGCATAGAGACGGAGGGGTCGAATGCTGCAACGGGCAGCGCGGGGAAGGCTGAGTCGGAAACAGCCGAGGAGAGGGGGCGGGGAACGGAGAGCGCTCCCCAGTTCGATGATCGGAACGCGGTCTCAATTCCGGTGTGTAACATCTGCGTGTGCCCCTCGAACGTGTGCACGCATGGTGCCTTTCGCGGTGCTGCAACGGTGTTGCCCATGGAAGCTGAGGGCGTGCAGCTGGAGGTGCCCAAGCTCGTTCGCCCGGCGGACTCCTGGCAGGTTCACGACCCCGAGGTGTCGCTGCTGCGAAGGCCCGTTCGAGTCAGCGAGCTCACGGCCCGGGATTTCGCGGAGTTGAGCGCTGCGAAGAGTCTCTCCGCCGCGTGCCCGCAAGGGCCACCCCCTTGCTGGACCCGATGGTTGGGGCTGTGGCAAATTGCCCACATATACGACTTGTACTGGTCGCAAGAGGTAAAGATTGGATCATCGCGCACATACTACAACTTATGTCTTTCTTGCTTGAAGTGGTGATGCATGATGTGGTAGAAGTGCCACGAAGAATACTCCATCAATGATAGCAGACGGTTTGCGTAAAGAGCCGTGCAATGTTTCAATCTAAACTTCGATGCTTCAACCTGACTCCACTAGCCTGAATTGTGGATTGATTCAAAGCTGTCAATTAGCGATGGGCACCATTATTACTCTACTCTTGTCCAGGTCAAGCTCCGGATCTACTGCTGTGCATGCCCCGAGAAGCATACCGTTCATTTCAACGGGGAGGCCCTCGGCTTGTACGCTTGGACGCGCGGGGTGGTCATCACGCAAAAAGCCTGTCAGATACTGCTACGAGACGTTCAGAATACGGGTGCTGCTTTCAGCTCGCTCGTTGCAGCTGCAAACACTGTGCGGCGTCAATACAACCCCGATGCAACCATCTTGTCAGAGGAGTGTTGGCGTAAGGCAACCCTTGGCTTCTTCAAGCTGTGTGGGCGGCAGATCATGGAGTGCTGCTCTCTGTGCGGGCCACATCCGGAGGTATGTTTTGCAACACTTAACGCCCACGTTCGCAATCCATGATGGCACTTGGTGCTTCCAACCACCATCGATTTTCTCGCGCACCTTACCTTATGATCATATCGTCAGAATTGGCATATCTCGGCGTGTCCAAGTGTCCAAGGTCTGGCACAAACTTTTCGCGGTCGCTCGTTGCTGACGTCATTAGAGGGAGAGCCCGTCTCGTCGTGTCCAAGTGTCCAAGGTCTAGCACAAAGTTTTCGCGGTCGGTCGATGCTGACGTCATTGGAGGGAGACCCGCTCTTGGCATGTCCAAGTGTCCAGGGTCTGGCACAAACTTTTCATGGTCGCTCGTTGCTGACGTCATGAGAGGGATGGTCCGACTCGGCGTGTCCACGTGTCCAAGGTCTAGCACAAATTTTTTGCGATCGTGCGTTGCTGACGTCATCAGAGCGTGGGCAACCAAGACATATGAGAATCACCCTTTCAAGAACACTAGGTTGTCTCTTTGTGAAGGTACTCCTATGCGACGGCATCACGGGGCTTGCTTGCGCTGACGGCACCCGTCAGAAGGGTGGGCTTGCCGGTACGGATGCCGCCTTGCTTCGGCCCTTCACTGCGCCAAGTCAAGGCTTCGATGGAGTCAACGTGCGGAAAGTAATGGAGGCCGGAAGCAACTACTTGGCGGCGTCTCTGTCGGGAGGGGGCCTGAAAAAGCGTCTCCTGCATCAGCCCGAGCTCCGGACGCTTCTAGCGCGATTTAGCGGACACCATGCTGCTGACCCGGAGCTAGGAAAGACGCCCAGTGCACGAGAGTACGAGGAGCTCCTGGTAAGTTCTGATTCTGTTTCAAGCATGCCCATCATGAGCAGTCTGTCTTTTCGACACCGTGAGTTTGTCAACGACTCTTTGAATCTTCGTGACCATGCAAGCAAACGGACAAGAATCAATAGTCCTTCATGCTCTGCCCTGACCAGGCGTCTTTTGTGCAGGTCGCGCTTGACAGAGACGACGTGCAGGTCGTCGCGGACTTCGTCCAAGATCCAGATGATGCCGATGCCGACCCCGTTCTTCTGCACTGGCGTCGGCAGATCCCGGGCCATCAAGTCGGCCAGGTCCGATCGAAGAACAAAGCGGTGTGCAAGCTGCTCGAGGGCATCGAGAGAGAATCGATGCAAGACGGGGCCCGATGGCCTCCGCACTGCCCCCACAGATGGGCGGAATTGCTCTACACCCTTGGAGCGCCATTCTCGGTGTCGGACGACTCCAACCTCATCCAGCATGGGAAGGCCCTAGGAGTGGTCCGCAAGCTTCTGTTAGGGGAAGCCGCAAACGACGACGACAGGGTTGTACTGGCCGAGCATTCCCCAATCCTGCGCCGGCTGCTAGACCACTACGGTGACCGCTTTCCCCGGTATTTCCATCCCGCGCTACACCACCTGTATCGGTTGACGTTGTTTGCGCGGGGCGCGATGGGGCTTGGGGTCGGGCGGGCGGGGTGGGCGTTGTCGGCCATCGAAGGCCTCGATGTTTGCGTGTGGCTGGAGCGGGAGCCGAAACCCTTGAGCTTCGAGCAGCAGCAAGCCTTCGACTTCTGGGCGGCCCGGGCGAATGCTCTTCTCCCCGGGGTCGAAAGCCTTTCCCCTCCAGACCCGTACGAGTACACCCTCCTTCCGCCGGAGCGGATCTTGTTGAACGAGCGGCTCGGTCTCGGGGCGGACGGATCGGAGCTTGGCCCTCTTCCCCCAGATCATCCCTACTGCCGTGAGCAGCGAGAGCTAGGCTGCTACCCGTTGAAAGGCTGGGAGCAAAAACGCCCTCTCCCGCAATACGAACCGTTCGAAGACGATCTCGGTAGGTCTCGCGAGCGCGACGAGGAGCACCGGTGTCGGAGCGGGCTCACCGTCGGTGAATTCGATGCCAAGGTCGCTCTCGAAAGCGGGATAAAGAAGACAAAATGCCTGCAACGGCACACAAAGGGCGGCTTCGTCTTCTCGTGCCCTCATTGTGTCATCTATGGCTTCCACGTCATGCTCCGCGGGGAGTCGCCGCGAGACCCCTTCACCGTCCTGTACACGCGGCTCAATCGGAGAGATCTTCCTCTGTACCTCATCCACGACAACGCCTGCAAGCTGCGTGCCTACGCGATGCGGAGAGAGCCAGCGTTCTTTGCAGACGTTCGGTTCCTGGTCGATAGGTAAGGTCAGAAGATTTGCGCAAGCCAAGGGGTGGCTCTTGTTGAGAGCAATTCGTCCGTGCCATTGCCATACAGCATTGCGACTTTCCTCAGCTGTGCACTGCTATACATTTTTTATTCTCATTCGTGCTTAATCTTTGCAGATTCCATTTCCACCACACAACCGCCGAGGCACACAAGTGTGGTCCATCATACAACACAGGTGAGACCCTGATGCATTTGCAAGGCACATGTGCTCTAATCCTGCTCGAAGTGGCCGCCCCCCCCGAATGTGTGTGCAAAGGAGCGGATTTAGAGTGACTCGG